GAGGTTGATGTCATATACTTGGACTTCAAAAAGGCCTTTGGCTTGGTCTCCCATTATGTCCTCATGGTCAAATTGGGAGAATGTGGCCTTGACTACTTCATGATCTGGTGGCTAGGCAACTGGCTCTGTGGTAGGACCCAAAGGGTATTGATTGATGGAATTGAGTCATCATGGTGGAAAGTGACCAGTGGCATCCCACAGGGCTCAGTACTTGGACTGAATGATCTTCAACACATTCATTGACGATTTGGATTCGAGTATAATAAGCAAACTCGCAAAGTTCACTGATGACACCAAACTATGGTCATGCTCGAAGACAGGCTAGTAGTGCAGGCCAACTGGACAGGCTCATGAGGTGGACAGACCTCAACTGAATGTCTTTTAACACAGAGAAATGTGAAGTGCTCCACCTGGGGAAAAATAATCCACAACACACTTGCAGGCTTGGCAGCGCTACGCTTGCTAGCACCACAACTGAATGAGACCTGGGTGTCATGACTGACAACAAAATGAACATGAGCCACCAATGTGATGCCATAGCTGGCAGATCTAATCAAACACTGGCATGCATCTACTGAGGCATCTCTAGTAGGACAATGGATGTCATCCTCCCAGTCTACTTGGCCATGGTGAGACCACAACTGGAGTACAGGTTTCCCTTGCTTTATGCTGTACATGCGTTCCTGGAAAACAGCGCAGAACTCAAATTTGCATAAAGGGAACCCAGTTTACAATGTAACCAATAGGGATACGTTCCAAGACCTCGACTGTACTGACCCCCAGACCCATTTCTACCACTTTAACAAAACAACTTTGGTGCTCATCAACAGCAGACAGTATACATAAGCACATGTGTATGATCACTTCATTTGTGGTGGTGAATGTTTAGTTGATGTGAAGAGAAGGTGGTGAAGGCTTCATTGATGGACCTGGGAGAGGGGTAGGAGATAAGGTAGTGGGATGCTTAGAAGCCATAATGGGGATGACAATTACAGAAACCCTAACCATGAAGAAGTTCTTCCTGATGTCCAACCTAAACCTACTCTCCGTCAGCTTGTGGCTGTTGTTTCTGGTAATTCCAAGGGGTGCTCTGGTAAACCCTCCTGCCCAGTGAATTTATATACTGCCACAAGGTCCCCCCTCAACCTTCTCTTGCGGAGGCTAAAAAGGTCCAGGTCCTTCAGTCTTTCCTCATAAGGCCTTCCCTGCAGGCCTCTAACCATATGAGTGGCCCTCCTCTGGACCCTCTCAAGGTTGTCCACATCCTTCCTGTATTATGGCACCCAGAATTGGAGTCAGTACTCTAGCTGTGGCCTGACCAGTGCCGCATAGAGGGGGAGCATCACCTCTCTGGACCTATTCGTGATGCACCTACTAATGCATGACAAGGTGCGGTTAGCTCTGCTAATTGCTTCATCACATTAATTACTCATATTCATCTTGGAGTAGACAACAACTCCAAGATCTCTGTCTGCCGCTGTGCTGCTTAGAAGGTCATCTCCTAGCCAATAGGTGTGCTGGTGATTCCTTCCCTCTAGGTGCAGCACCTTGCACTTGTCCCTGTTGAACTGCATCCTATTGTTCTCTGTCCACTTCTCTAACCTGTCCAGGTCTGCCTGGATTTGGTTTCTTCCCATCACTGTGTTTGCTTTGCCGCATAGTTTGGTGTCATCTGCAAACTTGAACAGAGTGCTTTCCATGCACTCATCCAGGTCGCTGATGAAAATATTGAACAGCACCAGCCCAAGGACCAAGCCTTGGGGGACTCCACTACCCACATCTTTCCAGGTCAATACCGACCCATCCACCACCACTCTCTGGGTACGACCCTTAAGCCAATTTGCCACCCGCGTGATTGTGTAATCACCTATGGCATAGCTGTCCAATTTGCTTATAAGAATAGGATGGGATACTATGTCAAAAGCCTTCTTAAAGTCTAAGTAGAGGACATCTACCTCAACACCTGCATCTAAGCTTTTAGTGACCTAGTCATAGAAAGAAACAAGGTTAGTCAGGCAGAATCTACCTGCTATGAACCCGTGCTGGTTGTCCTTCAGCATTATATTACCCACTAGACTCCCACAAATGTGATCCTTTATAATTTTTTTCAGGGTTTTCCCAAAGATAGAGGTAAGACTAACCGGTCTATAGTGGATTCCCCCCTCCCCTCTCCCACAGACCATAGCCAGCATGTGGTAAGCCAGCTAATGCTAAGAGGTATCTATGTAAGGCAGAGAGGACAAAAGCAGATAAGACAGTTCCCACTTAGGGCTTTTTGGAGCTAATTTACAGGTCAGCTGGTAATGTCCCTCCATTCCTTCCTTGGAAAAAGTTGTTTAAGAAGAGCTTGAACTAATGAGAGAGGTGTTTTGGTGCTAAATGCTCTGTTATCAACTGTCTTCTGGGCTGGTCAGAAGTAGTGAGGGCGGGGGGACCCCTCCCTAATCTGAGCATCCTGCTGGGTCCTGGCCCCAGCTCAGCTCAGTACTGTGGAAGGGAAGGGAGGGCTGCTCTAGCACACCCCAGCTTCTAGCCTGAGCCCACTGCAGGCATGTGCCTCCATTTCTTCAGTCCAGAGGGAGTGTCTGTATGGTTGGAAACTGGCTCAGCCTAGCCAGGCTGGACTAACCTGCAAAGATCAAATCAATTCAGGCTCAGGCTTTTTGAAAATCTGTCCTTAGCTAAAAACAACAGCCATCATTACCACCCACTGGTCCATCTTAAGCACTTCAGAATGGGAAGAAAATCTGGCATGCAATAGTTTATTAGCATGGGATGCATCTAACCCTCCCATAAAATACTACGCAAAAACTGAACAAGGTATTTAACAGAAACTGGATTTTAATACACATTTTTTGCAACCTCCTAAAACTTATAATCACAACCTAGAAGCAGAGGCATGTCAAATAAAACAGTTAAGACTTATGCTAAAATATTGAAATTCAAACCATGCAAATGAAATGTCATTATCTACTACTACCTGTTGTGTTCCTTGATTTGGTGGCATTAGGATGACATTATTTGTGCCAGCAACCTCTGACTGAAAACAAAGACGGTTAAACATTTATTATGCAAAGTACATTAGTTTTGTTCATTTGTTAAGCAAATTTAATAAACCTTTCCAACAAATCCTTTGCAGATTTAAGTCCTTATTTCTAATTGTAATGATCATTTCTTAATGATATCATTGCTTAATGGAGTGTTCTGAATTAATAGTGACCTGAGAAATAATCTGGATTTGTATTTTAGGCCTTTCCTGCCATCAAAAAGGGAAGATTTTTTAAAAATTGTAGTTAGAAATTCAGGTTTAGTCTTTCCAGAAAGATGCTTTGGTGACCAGTAAACTAATGAATTTATCTATATCAGTACCAGAGTCATGAGGAAAATGTGTACATTTTTTTTTTTTAGTTATAATATTTAAAATTTTGGGAGCCAAATCTTAGCATGTTCCTGCTCATTTAGTATTCCTCCAGCAGCAAACTGCAGATAGAAGGTTTAAACCTGTCATTGGGCAATTCCCCAATTTCAAACTACTATGTAGGTGGCATAGACTCAACATAATCAACTCTATGCCACCCAAGGAAGAAATGCCACCCAAGGACCAGAGAATTAATGGGCTATAATAATATTGAGTTGCTGACACAGGACTCTTATTCAAATTTAAATCAATGGACCAAACCATAAGAAGTGTTAAGCACTGACAGAGTTAGAGTCAACATAACTAGCAAAGGGTAGAAAACTTAGCAAAGAGAAAGGCTGCCGATTCTATCTTGGTGTTGAATGATAAATTAAATCTTTGAAAGATGAACCTTTTTATAAATGTTTCAAATAATTTAGGTTCGCCATTCAAAAATGAACAACCTTTGGGCAAAGCCAGGTATAAATGCCTGGATCCATATATACACATACACATACACAGTATAGGGGAATCTTTGAAGAGGAAGAAACTGATGTGTAACATTTTACTGTAAAAATTCTGCCCTTGGTTCCATTGAGGGGTAAGGAATTTCATGAGTGGGAGCTGCACAGGTATAATTGAAAGCAGAAAGCACGAAAACAAGCAAGCAGTCTTGTGAAAAGATTTGTAATCAGTAGAAGGGAGGGAAAATTTTGTCACACCCACCTGATTTTCTGCGCTGCTGTTTTCATTCCCCATTGCGATGCAAAAGCTCCAGTGTCAAACAACAATGAAGTTAAGAAAGGCAACTGAAAGAAATGAAACACTGTAAATCTTCTGGCTAGGGACAGAAGTTACACATAAACTGTTTTAAGTAATCAGAAACTGTTTTAAACCTGTAACAGGACAGAAGTTCAGTGTACATAAACCAGTTTCAAAATGGCTGAAACTGGTTTATAAACCTGGTTGAGTGTAGTATCAGATGTGACTGATTTGGGTCAAACCAGTTTATGAAACTGTCCCAGACCCCTTCCTGGTTCAAGTTAAATCATAGCCCCTCCGCATCCCAGCATGCTTTCCAGCCTTGGGCTGGGGTGCGCTGTCTGCTCCAGCAGAGAAGGGTTCGGGGGTGGAGCCAGGGACTGTCCGCCACAGGCAAACCCTGGCTGGGATCTGGGGCCAGGGACAGGGGGTTAAACCCCTCTTCCCCCAGTTAAACCACTCTTCCTTTGAGTGCAGAGCTGCCCTGCCCTGTCCTGCTAAATTTGCTGACACTTACTGCTGGCTGTGACTGTGGACTACAAATCCCAGAGGCACCTGTAAGCAGGAAGAGGAAGTGATGAGCAATCCTGCAGAGTCCTGCTGATGTGATTCTGGACCGCAAATTCTAAAGACCTCAGGGGCAGTAGGAAGAGGAAGCAAACACACAGCCCATGCTGGCTACATGCCACAGAGCCATGTTCTAGCACCCCCCAGCTTCTGGCCTGAGCCACTGCAGGCATGTGGTTGTATTTCCTGAAGCAAAAGTAAATATCGTGTGTCCAGTTTTTTCTCAGTTTAATCTCTGCAGTTTAGACTAACCTGCAAAGACTGAATCGATTCAGCCTCAGGCTTTTTGACTGTCTGTACTTAGCCCCAGTGACTTGAAACCTTACACTGTATCCTTAGCCCCCTTATCACCTTCTTTTAAACTTAGGACTGATAATGTTGGTCTCACTGACACATTATGAAAAAAAATAGCTGTCTAAGGTTTCTAAGATGAGTCTTCCTGATCCAGAGGTGTAACTGGCCAGTACTACACCCTGGGCAATGGCAGCATACAATGCAGAAACAGTGGCTGATGTCACTTCCATATTTTGCTGCCAACATGTGTTGAGCAGCCATTTAAACAGCAATTCTCAGCAGCAAAAAACGGTGGTGGGATCTGCCACTACTACTTTGTCCTTCCTGCTGCCAGAGCTGGAACAGGGAAGGTGCAGGCTGCTGGGGCTGAGGGGGGAAGGGGGTAAATGAAGGATGGGAGAGTGAGGTGCCCCACCAGCTCCATTCCAGCACCCACCCCTTAGGCAGCCCCCAGGCTCATGCCTTGCTTGCCCACCCATCATTAGACTACTGCCATGATCTCCTTCCCAACAATGTTTTAGCTAACGTTAACAGACTGTCCTTTAAATATAGTCTTTCCACTGTGTTTCTCAGTTACGGCAGGTACTGTACTTATATCATCTGAGAGGGATTTTCTTTACTGGTTACCTTTGATGGTCAGCTGCTCTGAAGCTTTTAAGCTTTAACGATTTTAAAATACTTTTTAAAATTCTTGGATTAAGCAGAAGTCCTACATGAGCAGGATTTGTATCATTACATGTGCCCACTTAACACTAAATGAAAATGTATGTTTTGCTAATTTTAATAAGAGTGTTTGAGTTTTTCACCCTTAAGCACTGGAGGCCTCTTCTGCTTTCTTAGCCAAGACAACAAATCCACTTGCACTCAACAGGCCCATTTCTGAATTTGTACTGATTCTACGTTTACAATGTCTGAACTCCTTGAGTTTGCTTGTTTCATAAATCAGCATAAGTAATATAGTGGCAGAGCAATTAAGGTATCTCACTGTGACTCCAGAGGCATGACTTGAAGCCCTGCTCTGGACTCATGTCCAAGGATGTCCCAGGTGGAGCCAGCTGTAACCGAGTACCTTGCTAGTAGGCTGAGAATCAAAGGCAGGTGATGTTAGCCACACATTGGCGAAGAAACTGGATCACACTAGCAGCCCAATGGGACATTATAGCTTGGATGGACCAAAATTCCTTGCACAATATAACTCCACAGATCTTAATGCAGGGGTGGGCAAAATGCAGCCCGCAGCCTGCCAGGCCATTCTATCCAGCCCGCGGGGCCCCTAAAAAATTTAGAAAATTAATATTTATCTGCCCCTGGCTGCCTGTCATGCAGCCCTAAATGGCTTGCTAAAACTCAGTAAATGGCCCTCCTCCTGAAATAATTGCCCACCCCTGTCTTAATGGAATTACTCCTCACTTTCAGCAGATGCTACATGTGAATTAGGCCTGATAGATTCCCCCCCACCCCTTAAGAAACTTGGAACTGGACCCCTGTCAAGTGTCTTCCTGTCTTTTTAAATCAATCAGCTGAGATTGTTGCCTTGCAAGAGGATTCTCTGAAACATTTCTGTGAGTCATTCCAAAATGGCAGGTAAATATACTTTTGTATAAGATCAACATCCTCACAATCATTTAAAACATAGAGAAACAGATCTCCCCATGCATCACGCTGCCTTTAACAATCAACAGATTTCCGAAAGGAAGGTTATGCTGGCATTTCTCTGCTGCTGACCAAACAGTTTTTGTTCCCACGGAAGCTATATGACAAAAGCCAGCAAGTTCAAAGCTCTTAGGTCTGTCCTCTGATGGCCACCAGCTGAAGGGCAGAATCGATCCTATTGATCTTAAATGAGTCCATCACTTCATTCAGTCCCAATGCCTTGCAAATACTCATCAAGAACAGAGCTCTGGCCTCCCTCCCTCCCTTGTATCGGTTGAGCGGTGTTGTATTAATGTTTAAAATTCATTTGACTCTTGCAAGTCTCTCTGCATCACTTCAGTATTGTTGACCTTTAAGAGTAGTGGTGGTTCATGGAAACTAAAGTTGTCATATACTTTTGCAACAGGAATATATAACATCGTTTACAGGATCTTGCTAAAATTTACAACCACTAAGGTACACAAAATGCAGCAAAAATGTCATAAGTCATCACTCCAGTTTTTCCCCCCTTTTGCCAGTGCCCTTTCCTTTCTTTTCCTTGCAATATGAAGCTTCTGGACTTTCCAACTCTTCCATCATCATTTGCTCAATTATTATAATTAAATGGGAAGTAAATGGGAAGTAAAATCAAAGCTCTTCAACTTCTTTATTAGTAAATGAAGTGTAGAGTGAAGAATAATTAATAAAAATCTATAGATTAAAATATAATCCCAATCGTTTTAATTTACATGGCTCTGTAGAGCAGAATCAGCAGAATCCACATCCAGTTCTTAAATATTTCCTCACTGGAAATCAGAACTCAGTTCTTCAAATGTGTGTACTTTATAACCATTTTTCTATTAATTTGATGTCATATTAATGGTAAAAGTTTGCTAAAATACCTTTAGTTAATTAAATAATAATAGTAATAAGGCCAAAGCATTTCTTCCCTAAATATCAAAACTGTTAAAAAATGTCTGTCATTACTAACACAATTTTAAAATTTTACACTTCAAAGGGTCCCTCTGGCAAGGTCAGACTCCAGACACCTTTCCCCCTGCACAATAAAATCACTTTCCTAAAATAAAGAGAATAATTTATTTTGAACTTACATTCCAGGACCAGATCTGATTGCTCTGGAGCAGTTGCCAGTTTAAACCATCCTTTTCAGCTGCACCTCACTAATCTCCACCTCTTTTTCCTCCTCCTCCTCTTCTCAGACACACATGAAATTTTGGCTTTGTTTCAGGGACCCACCTTAATTCAAACATAACCAGTTAAGCAAACAACTCTGCTTCCACTCCAGGCATTGAAGAAAACAAGATACACTGTCTTGCAGGGTCCCACTGTATGGTTCAAGTGAGAGACCACCGTAGATTTTTATTTCCTAAGTAAACACTACTGTCTTGCACAAAACTACCATTACAGAAACCTCTAGTATTTCTCCATCTATAACATTAGCAATGGTTTTTCTTACATTAAAGATTTACTCAAGGTGAAAAAGTATCAATAAGATACACAAGTGATGTATATATAGGATGAGGTTTTAGGGGGCTTTTTTAATTTAAAAAATAGTTTTCACTTCTTGTTTGTTTATACTTTAAGTTTGTTTTTCAATTTTTAATGTCAAAAAGGCCCAGAAGTGTTTGTTGCCAAGCATAGATGTTTGCCCTTAACAACTATGAAACTACGTGCAGGCTGGTCATCAAAGTAATTTCCCAGTTAATCATCTTGAAAGGTGGAGGCTTCTGACAAAAGCTCTTTGAAATGCAATGGTGCAAGAAATACAGGTTTATGGTGTGAGATAATTGCTGTTATTAATGCCTGTTTTCTGTTCCAGCCAGCGTATGCATAAAAGAGTCTTCACAAAGCCAGAGTTTCTCTCTAGTTACAATGTCAGGCGATTAACAGGCTTCTATACACACAGTCTGATGATGCCACACAGCAGAACAACAGCATGCTGGCTTTTACTGCATCCTGAAGTAGTGCAAGCCAGAGCACTACTAACTTTTGTGCAAGTGCATTGCATTTGAACAAGCATCAAGACTCCGCTGTTTTCCAATGGTAACAATCAATCAATGTGGGTAAAACCTTCGTTCTGCGTGTGGCAGAAAGCCACCTTGGTTTCTCCCCAAAAATCTCTGCCCTGTGACACTGTGATTTAAATCTCTGTGCTGTGACCATTCAATTAGGATGGGCCCAGCACACAGGGGACCACACCCTCAGCCTGTCTCTTTAGGGAACT